CAATCCACCATCAAGCCCCCCATTGTAGAGATTATTCTTTCCACCATCGCCTTCTTCCAGAAGTTAAAACTTAAACGGCAACCCAACTAACTTGGAATTGAAGCTTCCCACTGAAATTTCCTGGTCATTGCAGGACATGTGCCACTCTTCAATAACGATCAAGCCAGCCTGGGTTTCGAGTGAGGAATCGTCTCGCCCCCAACGTCAAGAATGGCTCTGCTATCGCTGAATGGCACCACCATAACAGACAAAGAAAGGCCAAACTTCTCCACCACTGCTTCCACAACCGGCTGCCACTCCACAATCTTCTTACCAGCAGAAAGCACATATCTAGACTCCCACATTCCTTTGTCCACTTCCATCTTCAACTTTTGTGATTTTAAGGAACAAAAGACTGCAGGCTTTGAACTCCGTTCTGCCTCTGCTGCTTTACTACTCTGTTCACTACTATTTGCCCCGGCAGCCTCTACATCCTCGTTCTCTTTCTCCAGTAATGTATTCTGAATAATGCTCTCAACTTTCTCTGTCAAGACAAGATACTCCTGCAACTTCTCCACAAAAAACCTCCATCCTGACTTTTTAATCCCTTCTGGAATGCACACCATCTTCCTCTTATCTTCTCCAAAGCATTCAGTCACCACTATAAACCAACCTTTTTTTGTTATTTCTTAGTTCTGCTATAAACCTCTTCCTCTCAATCTTCAAATGGCCCTTCCATCCATTCTCTTTTTTTCCATGCAAGGCTCCATCCATAAAGCCTTTCACCCAGACCACTGCATCCCTGAAGAGAAAAATGGTGGATTTTTTCTCTTCCCTGATCTTCAGGCAGACCTGGCCGTTGTTTCTACACTCCTCAAAAACGAACTTCTTTGCCTCGAAAGCCAGGTCCCTTCTCCATCTCGTGACTGGCCTGTAGTTTGTAGCTCCCTACTCCATCTGCGATGTAGCTCCCTTGATCATCAGTTTCATTTATTGATTTTGTCTTTTAGTAAATAAACTAATTAAATAATAAAGTATACAAGTAAATGTTAACCGTCCCAACTTCAGTTTCAGCTAATAAGGAGCTCACGACCTCCTTAATAGCATGTTCACTAAAAGACAAAACAATAAGCCATTTAGTTCAGCTACTTCAGGTTATCAAATGCCCCCTAATACATGGATTTCTGAACTTGAGTTGTTTCTATTTATCAATTTGGTTTACTGTAATAGTTGGGTGACTGCTGGCTGATCAATACAAGGTACTGGATGACATTTCTTGCAACCCTATACTTAGAATTATATGGGTTGCCTACATTTTTACTGTGTATGTAATGATTTCCAGTTTACAAATCCATTTTCCTTAGCTAAATTGGTCTAATAAATGTTAACACAAGAGAACTTAAAAATGTAAACGAGTATAGTTTTTCTCATATAGATGTTCTGATTGGGATCTTTTCCTTTTTTATGCTAATAAATAGAGAGAAAGACACTAATTCTTAAATACCAAAAAAGAAACTAATTCTTTAATATAACTGGTGAAAGATTTTTTGCAAAAAGTTTCTCTAATGTAAAAAATTAGGAAGATATGATAAGATGTGGCTATCTACTATAATTTAATTTTCCTAGCTTCTACATTTATTCTTAGTCATTCTAATCATTTTTAACATTAAAAGGTATTCATTGTTGATGCCAATACATTTCAATCTTGATGGATTTCCAAACAAGCATTCCTTCTGCCTTGTCATCTTAATGCAGGATGTTCTTGATAGCATTGAGTTTGCTAGAGGTGATCCCAATTCAACATGGGGTTCTGTTCGAGCAGCGATGGGTCACCCAGAACCATTTGACTTGAGATATGTTGCAGCTGGGAATGAGGATTGTTGGAAGAAAAACTATCGAGGTATGTTTGATTTTTCCAGAAATAAGAGTTTATGTACTCTAATGGTTTCAAATGTTAACGCCCATTCTCAGATACCTGTCTGTGAATTATTACACTGAAAAAGTTAAAAAAAAAAGTTTTTGTATTGTTTGATCAAAACGCTTGATACACAACTTTTGTGTATCCAGTATGTTGATATTTTAAACCTTTCTAACACTATATTTTGACTTTTTAAATTAAAACATTTAAAACTTCTAAAGTATCCTCTCTTTTTTGAGCAAAGGTAAAGTATAATTGTATTAATCAAAAGGTCCTTTGTACAATGAGAAGCTGTACAAAAAACAAACCAGAAGGGCCTCAAAAAAGGCCATCCTCAAAAAAGTACCATCAGACGTATCTTCTTTAAAGTAACCTTTTTAATCTTTGACTAAACTAAAATCTGTGTACTAAAGAATGATCTTCCATCAAAGAAACAGAAAGTGCTTAGTAAAAGTCTTTCCAATTCCTAGAATAACTGAAATAATCCCTAAAATCGGCAAGCACAGGGCGGATTCTCCTAGCTATGGCCAACTAATCATAGAATCCCTCCAAGATTCTTTCACAAATCCCAGAGAAACATAAGAACAATAAGCTGCACTGTAAGGAATCTCAGAATGCAGCACCTTTTAGAAAAGATGTGGACCTCTTTGTTGGACTGTAGGTTTGGACCTTGGTTATCCTTGTTAATAAGAAACAAGATATTTCATGAGTCCTTTATTATTTCAAACCTGATTATCCTACTTCCCTATCCTAATCCATCATGACTACATCTTTCTCTCCCCCCTAAACTTCCCTATTATTACCCAAGAATGCAAATAAGCATCAAGAATTGACCTTACTTGCATGATGCAAAATTCTTTTTGGTAGTCTCGTTCCATGTCCCAATCCTTGTCCAGTTACTCTACACTGAAGATTCACAGTGTGTCTCATAAGTATACCTCAATATTTTTCTTTGCTGTCAAAGAGATAATATCCTTTTGTACATTGATTCTGTCTTCCATATAATATCAATAAAATTTTTCAAGTTACTGATAAGAAACTGTGCATGATAAGAAGTGTTGAGATAGGCATGCAGCTTGTTATTTTCTTATTCCCTTTATTGGTTTTATGGACCGGGCAGGGGTACAATATTCCTTGTACACATCTTTATGTTGATATAAATTGAAACCTAAGGGGGTGGCTGCCCACTTTTTGCTCCCCTTTGAGCCTTTCTCTCCATCATTCTCTTCTCACTTTCTAAATCACTTTTCTACTTTTTTCTTTATTTTCTCTTCTGTTTCAGATCTTTTACTAGAAGCATTTCCATTGTCATGAACATTGCCTTTGTTTTGAAGAAACTTGATTAGATCTGCATGCATAATTCAAGTGTAGGACTTTACATGTGAACTGAGACTTTTACCACCCTATTGATCAGGAAATTACATTGAATTCTATAATGCTATAAAGAATGCCTACCCAGACATCAACATAATCTCAAACTGTGATGGGTCCTCTCGCAAGTTGGATCATCCGGCTGATCTGTATGATTTTCATGTAAGAATATCATAATCTATACTCCTCTTGTATATGTAGTGTAAGTTATGTATCATTTATGTATGGTAATGTTGTTAGGCTTTACAAGAATCAATATCTAACTCACCAGTTTCCTTGTCAGATTTACACATCTGCAAATAATATGTTTTCAATGGGCCATCAATTTGATCATACATCACGTGCAGGCCCAAAGGTATGATTGTGTTCCTTTTTTGTAAATTTGACATTTTCTTTTGGTTATAATAATCCTTTCAAAATATGCATTTCAGGCTTTTGTGAGCGAGTATGCTGTAACTGGAAAAGATGCTGGCACAGGAAGTCTTTTAGCAGGACTAGCGGAAGCTGGATTCCTCATTGGAATAGAAAGGAACAGGTTACATTTGACTTTTTAAATACTTGCATTATTTAGTATAATAATTAAATGAACTAGAAAAGAAACAATTGCAACCAATAACCAAGAGTAAATTAAAAATAGAAATGGAAAGCCTGGTTCTGAATTAAAGAATATAAAGGCAAGTGCAAGTCTCTGTTTCTTCAGATTCAATCCCATAAATATGTACATAAGAAATTTCTATTCTGGGTAATGATTGGTTACCAAGAAAAGATACTTCTAACTACAATAAACTTGAAATTTGAATTTCTATCATGGCTTTCCACTCTGCCACAAAATTATCAATAACTCTTTCAGATAACATCACAATTTTTGACATTCAATTGAATCTTTATATTGATATAAAATTTAAGATAAAATAAAAGTATTTTTCCCTTAAAATTAAGACAACAATTAGAAGACATGTGAATGGAAATCAATTAAGCTATAAAAACCTTACAAAAACTAGTTCTGACCAAGTTCCATTTAAATGATTTTTCCTATATTTTCTTAATTTCTTGTATTCGTTAATCAATATCCTCAAGTGTGTCATGCCCCTTTTAATCTGATGGTTTTTCCATTCCAATATTGTTAATATGATGCCAAGTCTTGGCCATGCAATCTTAATTAAAATGTATTAACTACAATACTAATAATCATAACAACGAGCTCTCTTATAGAGATTCAATTATAAAATGTGCAACAGTTCATAGAAGTTTGTTGATTGGGTGATTCAGAATCAGTTGTCTATAAACTTGGGGATTCATTTATGGGAAATAAAAAATTATTAACAAAAAGGAGAAGCATAAAAGGAGTAGTGCAAGTGTTGTGAGGACCAACCACACGCTGTCAACCCACACCCAATATCAAATCCATTACAGCCAGGAAAGGGTCCCTACCAATGTTCTCAGACTCGGACCATACTGGAAAGTTGGATGTCAGAACTGGGAATCAGCAGCTAAAATGATTTTTTTATTGACTATTTTTGAAAATATTGGCTTGGTCAAACTAACCCTATTTACATGGTTTAATGTCTTTTATACCCTCCAATATTTATTGTTTAAGCTTATTTTGATGAAAATAGCTTTAAAAGAAAGTCCAGAATCAATTCTGTTATTTATTTTTTAATTTCACATTTTTTTTATTTGAGCAAGTCAAGTAGTTGCACTCATTTATCAAAAAAAAAGTCAAGTAGTTGAACTGTTCAACCTGTTACCCAGTTGCCAAAACGGTTTTCAGTCCAGTAAGAGTCTGACAACACTAGTCCAACAAGACTACCACCTAACAATATTAATGCCTATATATGCAAACTGAGAGAGAGAGAGAGAGAGAGAGAGAGAGATCTGCACCCAAAAGCTAGCCTATAACATTTCCACAAAACACCTCCCGCCCCCAATGGAGGAAAATAATTGCAGGTACACAATATAAAGATGAGCTCCTCATCTTTTGCTTACACCAACTCTGCCTCTTTCTCTACTCCCTGCTTTATCACCAAAGTTCTGGCATATCCCAGTTTAGAAGAGTACAGACCTCCCTATGAGTTTCATAAAGTAACAAGCTTTGGTGTCACTCTGTTATTTTCTTCCAGAGTTTTGAAAATAATTGGTTGTTTATTAATCACCCCTGCCAAAAAGAATTAGCCATAAAAACTTGGCCATTTTTTGATAAATGCCCAATATATTGAACTTTATACTAAAATGAGCGAGAGTTTCCCTCAAACTGTACAAAAATAGATACAAGCATCAATGTTTTGTATTGACAGTGCAGCTACAGGTGTATACGAAAAAAAAAATGTATCATTCAACTTTAAAGCTAGAATTAAAAACTATCTGCTTGCAGTGATCCCTGAAATGCTTATACAAAAAACCTCTGAGCTCCTTCAAGACACAAGTCCATCCAATCAAAAGCCTTTCTGCTCTAGCTACATTTTTTTTTTCTGTATTTCCTTTTCTATCAAAGATTCTGCCCACTTTTTTCAATAAAAAATTTCTTGTTAATGATGTATTTTGTCCACCTCTTCTCATCCTTTTTTTTTTATCAGCAACTCCTCATCCTATGTTTCATCATAAGCTCGTTTGTTACCTTCGTCTTCATGTTCAGCCTCAAAGACAACTTAGAGATATGTCCTTCTTGTACAATAGGCATTGACCCTCCACTTCATTCCTATTCTCTCTGCTAAGCTCCTTATTCCTTTCATCATCTCGATATTTCCAATTCTAAACCCAGTCGCCTAATTCTACTAGTCTACAAATCTTTGACCTTGGATTCCAAGAGTATGACATTCATGCTTTCAGCCTCCATTCCAAAAGAAGTGGATCTCCTCAGAGTTCTGATTAGTCACGAATACTATGGATGCATATAAGAAATCCATAAATATCATAGGCTTCATATAATTTGATGATCCATATGAAATGCTGGATGACCCACAGAGATACAGCAAGAGTTCCTGTTCAGAAACTCACCATTGCTACTGCAGTTATCTTCGACGGTCATCCACTTCAAACTCTGGTCCTTCTATAGAGATGTTCAATTGATTGTTGACATCTCCCCTCTTGATTGAAATTTCTTCCACATGCTCCATTACCTCCAAAGCATCAAAAGCATAAATTCTGATCACTTGCGTTCTTGAAAACTTCATTATCCTATTTTTTTTGAAGAATAAAAAGAAAGTTTTCATTAAAAGAAAAAGAAGTGAGTACAGCATGGATGATAAGATATCACCAGAAACAAGGAAGCAACCTTGGGGGACCCGAAAGGCCTAAAGGCACCCCATCACACACCCAAAACAAACCAATCAAAACCAAGAGAAAGATCAACAAAAGGCCCAAAAAAGATCCAGAAGACAAAGACCACCAAACCAGCACTAGACTAAAATTGCAAGCCCATTCTTAAGCACACTTCAATCTTCATCTGTAAACTCATCCTCATGATTTGTAAAATCATTGTCCCAAACCTTGTTCCCCTGAAACTAGGCTTTTTTGTTCTCTTTCTCCTCCTTTCTACTTTCAAAAATCTCAAAGGCCTTCCTGGCAAATTCCTTGCCACCCCAATACCAAGCCCAAGCTTTTCCCAACCGTAACCTCTCTATCTACTAATTTCTGGATATCCACACCTCTTGGGTTTTCTTCATCCCCATCAATCTCCTACATCAACTGGATTCCACTAGAGTTAGAAATGACATCACTCATCTGTTTTAACTGTTATTCCTTCAAAGTAGGAGACTGGCTGAAGTTGCACCGCCACCCCCTCTGACTGGAATCAGAAGTCCCAATACCTCTTACTCTCTTCCTTCTGTATACCCATTTGTATTTTTTTGTAGGTCCTGCCCCTGCTAGCCCGAGTTTTTACCTTGAAAAGATCTTCGTCACATGAACTGTATTATGAGATCTCGGATTACGTGGTTTCTTGCTGATTATCCCATTACTTTGAGTCTCCTCAGATTCTTCTACATTGCTCCTTCGACCCAAATCAACCCCCAATCTTCCTGCCTCAACCTCCTCAAAATATAGATTACTTTCGACATTTCTTTCAACCTGTTCTTCGGTGTTCTCCTCATCACCCGAATCAATCAGCCTTGTCTTCGATTTCCGACTGGTCATCAGCACTATGGTTCCTCTCCGAGCCCTTCTCCTCTTCCACTTCCAACCTCTCAGTCTCGGTAAAGGCTAGAACCTCCGAAGGCTGTGAAGATTGAAATTCAGAATCACGATTGATCCCTAAAGACTTCGTACATTCTTCCCCAGTCTTAACAGATTCACAAAACCTATCAGTCCCCCCACATACCTGAGGCAATGGTAATTGGTTGGGAATCTTCCCTGAGCCTTCAAAAATCTTCTTCTTACCGCTTTTATCGAACTTAACTATCACCCAGATCCAGTTCTCTTCCTTTCTTTTTCTAGCCTCAGTCGAGTTCCTCCTTGTTCCTTTAACTCTTTTCATCTTTGGTTTGATTGGCCCTAACAGCTTCCTCTTATCACAATTCCTTTTTCTGCAACTAAATCCCTTCCTCCCGATATGCAGACTGACCTTGAGCTGTTCACTTCCCTCCTTACCTAATGGATGAAATGAGAACTTCATGCAAGAGCCTTTCTCTTCGGTATCCATGGGAGCATTTGTACCAGAAACTTTAATACCTTCCTCCGGAACATGAAGAAAATCTCCTGCATTTGCGAACTCAGAATCAATTGTTCTCCTACCTAGAGAGGAGGAATAAAGGGACCAACTTCTCCTGTCAAGCCAGACAAAGGACCCCACACAAAGGTCACTTGAAATCTCCTGGACCAACTTCAGCAGCTTGACCAGGACCCGGTTCATCTTCCATTACCTGGACCAGGTTGGGCCTTCTTTGATTTAATATGTATTGTGGACCCAATGGAATGGGTGATGTGGCACCGCCCCCTATGGGCGGGCTCTGCAAAAGACTTTTTGCCCCCCGTTCTCTCTCCATTTTCCAACAATTTTGAGCTACTAAAATTCGTAATCAGAGTCCTTCCAGCTAGCCCGCGTGGAGTCTCTTCAAAACCCACCGACGTCTGTTCTCTAGCCAATTGCATTTGACCATCTCTCTCCTTTCCACGTGTAACCCAACGTTCGAGGACTCCATCGTCTTCTTGCTTGGAACATCTCCTCCAGTGCGACGATTCTGCTCCCAGAAGTACCCACACCTTAAGCCAGTCGCCATCGACAAGAATCTTTAAACATCTGGAAACTTCTTCAGGTTCAAGGCCTTCGATTCTTACTCTTGCAGCATGAAGGTTGCCAAGATTGAAAGAAACCAAAACTTCCCCCAAAGATTGGATTAATTTTTCCAGAACTTCTTCCTTCCAGTAATTGAAGGGAAGCCCAACTAAATGAAGCTCCAGAGTTCTTTCAGAAATAATCTTTTGATTGCACGACGCATACCGCCTCTCCACCCATGTCTTTAGACTATTATTTCCATCCATACGTCTTTCTCGAGTGCAGTTTTTTTTTTCTAATTGGAAATGGTTACATTCGTCAAGGAAATGCAACTTTCAACCACCCAGAAAGAGGTGCTGGCACCAAAATAAACAAGTTACAACACAGCCCAGTGCAGTTTGTGACCCACAAAGTTAATTATATATGACAATTTTGAGATTAGTTTCAGTGCATTATGATTATGAATCTATGATAGATGAGAAAACTAAAGATTTGTTCTTTATATTTTCTTATTTAGCTTTCCCATGTTGCTTGCTGAGTGAGGTTGTAATTTTTTCTGTTAACACAGTGATGTTGTTCATATGGCAAGCTATGCACCACTTTTTGTAAATACCAATGATCGACGGTAAATTTCTTTTGATTTTTGAAAATTTTCCAATTACGATAGTATTATCTAATGTTATTGGTTTTACATTATGAAGCTTCTAAGTTTTGAACTTCATAATCTTGAAGGTGGAACCCAGATGCAATCGTCTTCAATTCATGGCAACAGTATGGAACTCCTAGTTACTGGATGCAAACATTCTTCAGGGAATCAAGTGGTGCAACTCTTCTCAACACCACACTTCAAGCGAGTTCCCCAAGTTCTCTGATTACTTCTGCAATTACATGGGATGATCCAGTTGGAAACAACAATTACCTAAGAATAAAGGTCTTGATACTCAATATAAGTTGGTTCTTAATATTTTTAAATTTTCAGCAGTGCATACTACATTAATGTTTCTATCATCCATTTTGCAATCTCATGGATAAACAAAAATTACATTAATAACATGTTTATTACAATAAGGTAGCACATGGATAAACAAAAATTGCAACTAATTGTGCTTTTTCTGCTTTATGGCATTGCCATGAAGTCTCTTCAGCAAGTTTCTGCATTACATAGTAAAGATGAATGCAAAAGCATGTTAGCAGTCTTGGGATTATTGTGTTGACATCTTTATGGGTTAGCACTAAGATATTTATCCTTTCTAAGCCCTATGGTTGGCTGGTGGAATTGTCTATTGCAATTCTGGTTTTCATGCCTCATCAATGAATAAGAAATTTGAAGGCAAACATTGTATTATTTAGCCATATTCTCCAAGAATACCGTTAGATCACTAGTTCAATGACTAGAGGTCAAAAGAAGTTTCTTTTATGTTGAGAGTTGTCTTCCATTTTATAGGTTTCTTCTGCATGTTAATTTCTTTTAGTAAACTCTCCTTAAGTCCTTTGTCAATAAAAAAATGTAAATGGTAACAAAAGTAGGGAAACTAAAACAGAAACAGAAGGTCACAAGACACTGAATTGCTAGGATTTTTTTTCCAGGTTTATCCATTTTCTGTGATTCCAGTTGTCCAAATCCCATTGTTCTCTCATTTTCAAGTTTAAAATCACTTATTTGTTGCTGTATGGAAACCATTATTTCTGTCAACTAATCTGTGCATTCTTTTTCTGCTTTTTTTGGTAGATTGTCAATTTTGGAAGCAGCATTGTGAATCTTAAGATCTCCATTGATGGATTGGAACCAAACTCCATAGTGTTGTCTGGTTCAACAAAAGTTGTACTTACATCCAATAATTTGATGGATGAGAATTCCTTTGGAGCACCAAATAAGGTAAATGATCATTTTCTTTTACTATTCTATATGCCTATGCATGCCCATAATATATAAATGAGTGGGAATCCTTGATCAATCTGCTCAACAGTCCATTATTTTTCTAGATTTTGTTTGAGATAACTTGACTAGTGAGCAAGGTCGCTCTGTTCCCTGCTTTTCTGATCCAGCCTGATTCCACTTCCAGGCTCCTCTCCTACCCCTACCACAGTCTACTTAACAGTATTGACTATTTGAGGATTTCAGTTAGGCATTTCTTGGCCCAATATAATTGGTGCCACTTGTTGGTATCAAAATCCCCATAGTTATATCTAATGTGAACAACAACCGTTTAATTCTTGGAACTCAGTTTCATGTTAGTAATATTTAAAGCGCTATGTCCATTCTGTTTGTGTACATGTATCATTATCAGAATGAAAGATTTTTTTTTTTTGAGACAAGGTAAGGCATAGTTGTCAAGGCGACCTTTGAGGCTCGCCTCGCCTAATTGCCTAACAGTTTTCTACTTCCTACTATAAAAAACTTTTTTATTCATTCTTTTTTGATATTCTAATTATAAAATAGACATTATTAAACTAAAATAATCATTTTGTGTGTTTATATACTAATTTCTTTTTATTATTTTCTTATTTATTAGGGTTTTAATCAACAAAAACATTGCTAAATGCTGTATTGAACCCTCAAAGACTTAAAAACCTGAACCAATAAGGAAGAACTAAAAATTTTATCTAATCAGCACATTTTCCCCTTCCATATATTCTTCTTCTTCTACTACTACTATTACCAATACTTTTTATTTTCTTCTTTTCCTATAACAAAAATAAGGGTTCAGCCCCTATATTTTTTGAATTTTATTTTCCTTCTTCCTTTTCTTCTCATGAATATGTTGATTTTCTATACTTTAATATGAAATTTATACTTTTCTTATGAAAATCATGAATAATTATTAAAGAAATATGGTTATGGTACCTAGGGAACTACCCTAGGATCTATGTTTTTAACATAAAAAATCCATCGCCTAGGCCTAGGCACCCCCCAGTCGCCTAGCCTCGCCTTGGCGCCTTGAAAACTATGAGGTAAGGTAAGAATTATATTAAGAAAAACAAAACATGTACAACAAGATGATGTACACAGGGACTGATCAAAAAACTGCCCTGGCAGCACTAAACCCCCCACCCTGCTTTACAAAAAGGTTTTCATAGACAAAAAGGGAACTAAGCTTGCATTCTTAAAGTGCAAATGGCCCATAATCCAGGAATGCATTTTTCCTGAAATTTTCTGAAAAACAGAATCTAAAGAGCTGCTCTTATTTTTGAAAATTCTTGTTTCTCTCCTGCCACAAGCACCAAAATACCACTGCTGGGACCAAGTTCCAGATCAGTTTTCCTATTTTGTTCAGACCTTCCACCCTCCAATCTTTTATAAACTCCGCTACTGATCCTGGACAGCAGCTTTCTACCTCAAAAAGTTGGGCTACTCTGGACCAATCAAAATGAAAGATTTTGGGGTCAGGGCTTTACACAACCCCTGTCCTCCCTCTTCATCGTAACAGGATATCCATTTCCATCCTCCCCCTTCAGCTTTACGAATTTATTAATAAAAATATGAATATAGAGGGGGGATGTAGTATCTTACTTTAGGTAAATACAACTGGAAAATTACTAATAGGTAAATAACAGTGTCCTTGTAACAAAAGAATGACCAAAACCTAAGAGGCTAATGTTTGGCAGACCCACCTCTCAAAAGAGAAGAAAGAAACTAGTTTAGGGGAAATAACCATCTAGAATAAAATTTGCTTCATCTTTTCTGGTAACAACTTGAGTTTGACTTTCTATTGAGAGTAAACAGTAAAAGAAATTGATGGGTTGTTGTTCCAAATCTTCTGTTCATCATCATCATCCAATCCCTATCCCAATTATATGAAGTTGGGTATTCGAATCCTGTTTTACCATTCCATTCTGTTTAATGCCATATCCATTGTTAAATTATTGATGCTTAAATCATTTCTTTCTACTTCTACCCATTCCTTATATGTCTACCCCTAGCCCTTCTAGTCCCTTCAACTTCCAACAAATCACTTCTTCTTATGGGTGGTGTTGTTGATGGTCTTTTATGCATGTGAGCAAACCATTTTAGTCTACTTTCTCTCATTTTATCACCTATTAGAGATACTCCTAGGTTCCTAAAAATGGCTTTGTTCCTGTTCTTATCCTTTCTAGTTTCTCCACTCATCCATCTCAACATACACATTTCCTGCCACACACATTTGGACATGTTTCTTGATTGCCCAACACTTACATACAGCATAACTGGCCTTACAACTGTTTTATAGAATTTTCCTTTCAATTCAATTGGTATTCACCTATCACATAAAACTCTGGATGCACCCTTCCATTTTGCCCATCGTACTCTAATTCTATGGGTGAGCTTCTCCTCAATCTCTCCCATGTCACAACCAGACCACACATTGGCAGGACTGGGCTGCCCTTTTATATTCTTTTTTAGTCCTGCTTATTTTAAAACCTCTTTTTTCCAAGGCATTTGTCCATAAGCTAATTTTGCATTTAATCCTTCATTAGTTTCATCAATTAAAATGGAGTCATTGGCAAACAATGTACACCATGTGACCTCTGGCTTAATATGTTTAGTCAATTCTTCTATGATAAGTGCAAATAAATAAGGCTAACTGTTGAACCTTGGTGAAGACCCATTGTACCTGTGAAATCTGATGTCTCTTCCATAGGTGTTCTAATGTTGGTTGCTACACCCTCATAATATCTTTAATAAGCTCTATATTCCTTTTTTGGAACCCCTTTATTTCCCAAAACCAACCATATTACCATATGCGTTCTTTAGATCAATGAACACCATATAAAAATCTCTTTTTTTTTCCTCTTTGAACATTTCTATCAATCGTCACAAAAGAATAATAGCTTCCATACTTGATCTCCCTAGCATAAACCCAAATTGGTTCCCTGATATACTTGTTTCATGTCATAATCTTCTTTAATTATTCTCTCTTACCAAAGTTTCATACTATAGCTCATTAGTTTAATCCCTTAGTAGTTATAATCTTTTTAATGCTTTCACTAGCCAAAATCAACAGTTTTGTTTCCAAGAAAATTTGATTTAGTTTCTGTCTAGGAGATGTATTAATTTTGCTTTCTTTGATATTCCTCTTCAGATTAGAAAAGGCCATTACCCAATGTTGGTTTGTCCCAATTACCCGGGGTATTGGGAGGGCTCTCATATTCAGTGTAACATTTCTTTTTTGGATTCATTACCACATCTAAATTCCACATTTGGGCACATGAGTAACCAAATCATTTATTGAACTGTTACCTTTAACTATAGTTCTTGCTATATTTTAGAACGAAGCTAAAGAAAAAGAAGATTCATCTATTTCTCTTGACATGGAAAGCCTCCAACATTATCATCTAAGCCTTGTCCCAACTATATGGGATGAGCTACATTAATCCTGTTCCACCATTCCATTCTATTCAGTGTCATATGTACTGTAAAAATAATGGGTCCTTCAGCCCATGTTCTTTTTGGTCTACCCCTAGCTCTTCTAGCTCCTTCAACTTGTAATAGTTAGCTTCTTAATGGTGCAGTAGATAGTCTTCTTTGCAAATAAGCAAACCATCTTGGTCTATTTTCATCATTTATCACCTATTGAAGGTAGTCCTAGTTCCCTTGAGTGAGTTCATTTTGGTACTATCTTTTCTAATTTTCCCACTCATCCATCATTCACATATTTGTAATACTCATTTATTTTGGACATTTTGTTTCTTGACTGCCCAACACTTTATATAACATTGCTGGCCTTGTAACTGTTGTGTAAGTTTTCATTTTGGCATAAGTGGTATTCTCCTATCATGTAAGACTCTGGATGCACCAACCCATCCTACTCTAGTTCTATGGGTGACATCCTCAATTTCTCCCTTGTTCGGAACAACCTTGTCCTTAGGCTATGTTTGGTTTGAAGGAAAAGGTAGGGAAAGGTAAGGAAACCTATACAAGGTTTGTAAAGGTTTCCCTACCTTTCCCTTCCTTTCCCTACTTTTTCCTTCAAACAACACACAGCCTTGACATCTGTATTTTTTCAAAATGGTAATGATCTCATGGCCTATATTTAATCTGGCTAGCTTATAAAATGTAGTTAGGTGAGCAAAGCATTACGAATTAGTCATGATCACTATTTTGAAGAGGGAGTGTCTCAAGTCTGGGAATGCAGGACCCATACCTGGAGATGGGTCTCATCCCCCATGGCATATCACATGTCCCTGTGTATGCTAAAAATTAAAATAATCTGATGATTTTGAACCACCTAATTTGGGCATTCATATATAACCTATATACAACGAATGAAAAGCGTAGCCCATTTCATGGAACCTATTTTTGGCATATTGCTTTAGCCCCTTGAATCTTAAGCCTTAATGCTCCACTTTGATTCCTATGCGAGCCCATTGCCTAAGCAGTTGCTGGACCGTTTTGTGAAACAAATTGTATTTACTCCTATGACATCTTTTTTATCCCACTCATCTCTTTAAGGCTTAAAGCCGGTTTACTGCAAACACAACTACACACTGCATTACAAACATGATTGGACCAACTAAAATAATTGTTTTTATGGTTAGTTGATACACAACTGATCTTTCTGCTAGGATTTCTCATCCAATAAATACAACAATTTAAATATAAATGCACAATGCACTTGCATTTATGCTGTGGCCCATAGAAATGCTTATCTTTTTAATATATGTATTGCACATGCAGGGTCTGTCTAGTTACTCGAACGACTTCTTAACTTTTAGGCAAACTTTCCCCTGTTTTCTAATTAAATGCATTGAATTCAGTAGGTTACAGTCTTCTTCTGTACATGCTATTTTTAGCCCAGATAAACCTATTATTAACTAGGAACCACCCATGCTGGATCCTGATGCTCAAAACATGGGACAGGTGGCAAGTTATAGTTGGCCTATTGAATATTTAGAAAGCGGATGCTTGCCTTGGTTTCTGTGCATACTATAAAAGAAATCAAAGAATTGGAATTCATATAAAGTTTGCTTTTACCGTTTAATCTTATAAATGCATAGCACATCCAGATCAGGTAGTGTTGTAAGCACATTCAATATGCACTTGGAAAATTTTGACACCTGTCCCTTAAAATACCCCCAGCCTACCCTTGAAAAATATTCAAAACCAATCTTGACAGTTGTCAGAGTATTTATCAAGTGCTTAATATATTGTGCCTACTACATCCGGTCTCAGTCTTACACCAATGTGTAATAAATTTTGCAAAAATGTCCATGTTATTTAGTGAACCATAAGATTTTACAAGTGATGTTCTCAAACCAAAAATTAGAATTTTTCTGTGGAACTTAATGTATACAAATCAGCATTCAAAGGATGTTTTAATTTTAAGCACATTCAAAAGTAATGTTTTTCTCTAATTTTGTTTATTCAGATTATAAAACCTGTAACTGCAAGTAATGTATGCGCATAACAGAAGATTGCAATAAAAAAGAAAAGAAAGAAACTGTGATTCCTTACCATCCAATTAACTTCACATATCAATTCTCATAGTATACGTATCTATATATAACCAAGATAAACCAATCTGGAATAATACAACAAAAGAAAAAAAATATATACATTTGATCACAATTCCCTCGTACTGTATAGACGTCCAAAGTAATTGCCCCCAGTACCCCATGACCATGACTTATTGTGTTTCTCTAAAGTATATCTTAATGTAGTAACCAATTGAGAGTTGGATGTGAATTTATGATGATTTTGGATTTGTTCTGCTTCTCATTTACTCATGTTTATTATTTGATATTTTCTCCGTAGGTGGTGCCAATCACAAGCCAACTTCAAACCGCTGGAAAAGACATGGATGTTGTTCTGTCTCCACGTTCTTTCACGTCGTTTGATTTGATAAGAACTTCAGATCTTCGCTTTAAAGAAGTAGAATCAGTCCATCAATCCTTTATTTAGAATTTTTAAATAAAAGACGATGTAAATATCTAAAAGAAATAAAAACCACCTCGTGTATATGATAGGTTGGCTTCTGTTGCAGCCAACCATCCTCTGGTGGCTTGTTTACTTCAATTCCATCCCCATGCTCTCTCTCTCTCTCAAGCATATGGTTGTATCATATGAAGACCATAATTCATTAAATGGAAACCTTGCGTTTCAAAATATCTAGAATTAGCTCTCTCTTCTCAACAACCCCGTTAAATTCCACTAATTTAACTTTATACCAAATGAATATTTTAGGCTGTGTTTATTTGCAATGCAAATGTGAACCTGATGTAAATTTTGCACCCAGTTTAAATTTGTATCTATTCGTCTCTAATAATGTTTTGCACTACTTATACAAAATTTGTACTTTTTGTCTCCTTCGTACTTATTGGCAGTGCAAATTTTGAATCCTAAAATCTGATGCAAAAGTTGCATCACCTCCTTTCTATGTCAAATCTCTCATATAAAGTGGGATCACATTCAGTGTTTAGAAAACCCGATTGGACCAGTTAAACTATGACCCGAGACCTTGGCTGGTTCGGTCATACCCCAATAACCACTTTGGTTAAAAAATTGGTAAAAACCAGTTAACTGAAAAATTGATGAACCGGTCTTGGTTTCATGAAATTGCCAAGGCCCTTAACTAATATGAAGTTTAAAATGTGTTTAACAATATTCAAACCTATGGTTTCTAATTTTTATATATTTCTTAATTACCATTAGTCCACTTTATTAGGTGTGTATTTAAAGAAAATGTAAATTAAGAAACTTGAATCTTAATCATTTGCTTTAAAAATTGAGGAACTTGCCATCAATATAACATGCTTAAGTATATTAAAAGTTGTAAAATGTATTACATATAATATTTATATGACCTCTAGTATATATATGTATATGCCACGTCATTGCGGTTTGACCTTGGTTGAACCTCTGACCAGTGAACCTCTCCCCTCTCTAGTTCTATGCCCGGTTCAGTTCTCAGAACATTGATCACATCATCTCTGTTTATTATTTCATTCCTAAACAAATAACCCTTCTATCTCCATTTTCTTTCATATAAGTTGGGGTGGGGACACACCATTTTACTTCTCACAAACAAATAAGACAGTCAAATATGAAGTACAAGTATATTAGAATTTACACTCAAACTATTTGCACTCTCATCCATTTACAAATTTAAACCAATGCAAATAAATTTGCATTGCAAACAATTTAAGCATCAAGTTTCAAAAAGCTAAAAGGGGAAGTGAACTTGAATATCTAGGTTAAACTGTTAAAGACAACAAATCTATCACCATGCCATGTTTCAACTTCTTGTTATAACCACATGAATTCTCAATTTTAATTTATATTTATTCTTAGTGCATGTCTATGAACAATTTTTTAAGAAATAGTTGGCTATTAAAATTTATTTATTTAGAAATAATAATAATGATTATATTGTTTTCCCAATAATTAAAATGCACATGCATATCTTGACCATTCTAACATTTTTCTACATTTATCAATTGTTTCCCAACAGTTCATGCTTAATATAAACGATTAAGGTGTGTGTTTCTTATGCTTATATGTCTCATTTATAGTTATGTAAGACCTCAGGTTGAACTTTTTCTAAGGAAATATTGAAGTTATTTGAATTTTCCCAGCCAAGGTTCAAAATATTAATATCATGTATCACAAGGGAAGTTTGGATACAAATACACTTTGCATACAATGGAAATATATGGATACACTTGAATATATTGGGGAACTATAAAATATGAATATACATAAGAAATGCACATTTTAAAAGTTTATATATAGAGATACATTACAATCAACAACACCAATATAACATGTAAATACCATGCTATAACTTTACTAGCAACTTACCAAACAATGCTTGCTTGAGTTTCCAATATACTAAAAATACATTACAAGATGCAACAAATTGTTGTAACATCAATGAGTTTGATAGATCATTAATAAATCCATTTAATTTATAGTTCTCTCCTACCAAGGTCAAACTTTTGCGACATATCAGCTTGTATCAACTAACACACATGGTTTCGTTGAGGGGTTGAGATGGGGAACATATAGAGATTGAGAGTGTTATTCCTATTTGTCATATTGATTCCTTATTGACCTTGCTTCAGCATCATTTCGAATGTTTTGGTAGTGTATCAATCAATATGCTTGGTGAAAACAAAAATTAAAAGGTGAAGAAAGAAGGCTTTTAACCCTCTTCAGAAGCCTTCTTTCAAGTCCAAGTTTTCCAAACCCACTCTAGACACCCTATATATCGAGATTTGCAAAAAAACAAAAAAAAAAAATCAAAACTCATGATTTTTTAAGACATTTTACCCTTGGGCAAAAACTATTAAATAAATGTGCTTTTTAAATTTGTATTAGAATATCTTGAAAATTTTTGTGTTTTTTTATTTGAATGCTTGGAAATGCTTGGATACTCTTTGATATGCTCTTTTGTATTAAAAATCCTACATTTTTTGGTGCTATAAGTAAACTTAGGAAGTTTTGTGGAGAAAATGGGAAAATGAAAATTAACAAAAAAATTAAGGGTCTCAGAATTCATAATGTGATCGTAAAGTTCGGGTCAATGTCAAGGGGGAAAGATTCCCAATTCACAGGGGGATTTTGTTTATAGGGGGTTGGGGATAAATACATTTGGGGAATTAATTTATGAATTATGAGGTGGACTGAACTCTAAAAAGGCCAAAAAAATATATTTTTAGTGTGGCCTAATCATTAAGAATGATTATATTTTAGATTTATGGATGACCTATTATATCCATAAATCTATTAATGGTTTTTATTTTGGGAAACTAGATAATTATATTCTTTTCTTTTTGCCTTTTGCAAGTAGATATTTGAATTATTTTTAAGGCAAGGACAAGTTGTTGAAAATAAATAAGAATTAAGAACACATTATTATTTTAATTTTGAACTATTTAACACTTATACAATTAGTTTATAGTTGAGTTCGTGAAGGTGTACGCTGCTCATCTTAAACGGTCGAGGAAGATAGAGCTTCCTTGCTCGCTAGACTAATATTGTGAAACATCATCTGACATGTGTAGTGCTTGATGCTTTGTAAATTTGTAAAACACCACCCAGTTTCCACTATACCAGATGATCTATACACTTGTGAAAATCATACAAACCCTTGTGGTTTATTGGGTTCTAGGTGCATTTGATAGTGTAAGTAAAACCAAATCATTTGGGGGATAATGTTTACAACTATAAATGATGTTCCAAAATTGCAAGAAATCATCTAGTCTTTTCAATGTCGGATGGATTTTAAGCCTAGTACACTATCCGGTCTTCCCCATACCCGATGGTTTGTGTACCTATGAGAATCATATAAAACCATGTGGTTTGTTTGGTTTTAAAAGAATTTGAGTGTGTTAGATCACCTATGTAATTAATTATTATAACTATAATTGATGATTCAAAATTGTAAGTAACCATCTAGCTTGTGTAATGCCAGATGGTTTCTAAGTCTATAAAACACCATCCGGTTTCCACTATATCAGATGGTTTGTGTAGTTGTGAAAATCATATAAAACCTTGTGATCTATTGGGTTTTAGATGAATTTGAAAGTATAAATAATATTTTGTCACTTGAGTGATAGATATTTGCAACTGTAATTGATGATTCAAACTACAAGGAACTATTCAGTCATTGTAATACCAAATGGTTGTTAAGCCTATTAAACACCATTCGAACTGCTTGTTGCCGGATGATGCCTAAATTTATTGAACACCATCCGGTCTATTATATATCGGATAGCCTAGGCACTTATAAGAATCATATACAATTTTGTCCCTTTCGTAATTTACTTCCATGGCAAAGGTTTCATCCTCTTTAGTACTATAACCCTATCATTTCATCACTATGTGCTAGAGGAGAGAAGGTCCAAACAAGATGATGAGAATGGGGAGAGGAGTTTCAACCATAAAAATAAGAAGACAAAGAGTAAGAAGGGGGAGAGATCGAGAGACTAAAAGAATCATAGAAAAGAGAGATGAATACAGTCTTATCAGTGGGTTTAAATGAAGGGCAATTTGGACCTAAAAATTAAAATCTCTCCCACTCATTGTTTTTGCAATTATTTTCAAAACATGACCAAATATGCTAATTAACCAAGCTTGATCATTTAATATGCAAAAAATCTTTTAAAAATTAATATTAAATCTAGGGATATATTACAAATTTACCATCGGGTTTGGGGAATTATATGCAAACCCCATCCCTACCCTGTTTGGGGCAAGGCGAGCCCTAGTTTTAGGGGGAAATTTTCTATACCTAAGTATTAATCTCTCTCTTTCTCTATCATATACATCTCTCTTTGACAGAGTTGATTACCAACAAGAACTTCCTTTTCCATATTGTAGCAACAATTCTCTTTCAATGCCGACAATGGCAACGATTAAGTTAGAGTTGTTGAGTCCAAATCGCCATGGCGATGGCATAAGAGAGTTTCCAAGCTTTCTTAATTCTTATTTTTTTTTTTGTGAAAGGACCATATTGACCCTCCTTTCACGTGTATGAACAAGCACACATATACAACATTTTGAGGTTCGTTATCAGGCATGTGTTTCTTGGGAATGGATTCTCTTTGGAAGTGAAAAATTTTCACCTCTCAGAATCGAGCTAATGGCTCACACTTTTCATTCTACATCGAATAAATTCTTGACAAAAACCGATGCCAAACACGTTTCTTATTCTTTGAAACACGAGAATCAAAAGAATCACTACGGAGGAGTGATGCCAAATAAGGCAATTGCAAAGTTTTTTCTTGTAAAATTATATTCTTGCAAATGTGGTAACCTCCTGAAATAACACAAGTAATAAAAGGTGTTTATTTATTTTATTTTTTTTAATTTTTTGTTTAGATTTCTAAGTTTACTTTATCCTTAAAATTTTATCAACCCTTACTAAAAGGGAAGTAAATTAATATTCATTTTATCCTAAAACCCAACAAGAAAGCATATAGCCTCGCCCAATACAAGACGCAGAAAACAAGCAAACAATCGACAAGAAAAAAAGCATCAAAACCATTAACCTATACGTTTATATGGTGATGGCCAACCTATGACATTGCTAATATCTACTTATTTCACTATTCATCTATAATTTGCTTTCAAGCTATTTTATCATATCGCATTCTAAGGGTGCAACTTGG